TATTAATGTGTCTTTTTTTTATTTTTTTCTGATGTGAAAATAACAGATCTTTGTTTCTGTAACATTAATTGGTAGAATATTAATTGATCTAAAATGATGGCATTGACAGTAACATGTGTAACGTAATAAGAATGGTATGATATGTGTATTATAGTAAATCTTCATGCCAGGAAATTTACATGAAAAGAAGGTAAAAATGAATGTTATCCATTGAAATGAAATAGGTGACTTCTCTCAACCTGATAACTTGGTTTCGACTGGACTATGTTTTCTGTTAATGATAGAGAGATTTCAGGGTTTGTGAAGGTGTGGATTTCTAGAGCTGAACTGAATTTTTCAAACTTTTTATTGTCAAAACGCAAACAAGATGTCGTCTGAAGTGTTTTATAAATTTGTGAAATTTGCTAAATTGTTTTTTATGTTGAACAAAGAGGCACGTACCCTGAAAGCTGAAATAAGAGACAGTTAAATCATTTCATTTTGACATTTTTATGAGTTATTTGGCTTTTCAATGTAAAATAATTTGATTTGAAAGTTCCTTCTCTAGATATTTTAAGAAAGAACCTAAAATTCATCATTAAAATAAATTTTATGTGACAGATGTTATTAAAGCTTTATTTTTCCAAAAAGTAAAAGTATTTTAAAAAATGTTTGACCTGGAATTAGCTTTTTGATACATATGACTACTTGTTTGTGCAATTTAAAATTTGGATTTTTAAAATCCAAGTTACATCTCCACCCCAAGTAAAAGTGGACTTTCTTGGATAAAGGGTATATGCTAAGGTGCACAAAGTATTTTCTCCAGAGTTTATCCTGCATTTTTGCCCTCCTCATTAAGAGCTTTTCAACCTGTCAGAAAGCTTAATTCATGGTAATTTCTGTTGAAAGTTTTAGTTCAGTGATCCATGCTCCTCTCCAAGGGCTTGTTGTATCTCCTGAGAGTTAGAAAGCATCCTGATCTGTCTTCTACTCCAGTAAATTCATTAATTAAAGATATTTTTATACTTTCTCTGTAGACTATGGAAAGAAACACATGTTGCTTTCTTTTAAGAGATAAATCTTCAGTAATGCCTTTGGCAGAACCTTGCAGACAGTTTGCCTACTGATACTCCTGAGGGAGTATTGCTCTGATCTTCAGGACACAACAGGTTTTAGGAGAAGAGTGTTTATGATCAGTCTCACATGCTGGATTAGATACAGATCTGCTACCAGTGGAGGAAATGAACTTTTAAAATGCAATTAAAATGTACTTTCTGGTTTTCTGTAGCTTTCTACATTTTCATGTAGGATGTGGAGCTGTAGATAACTCATTTCCAGCGCTCCACTGTGAGGCAGTAGGAACAAATGTCTCATTAGGAGCAGGCAGGTGAAACTATATTGAAGCTTTTGTAAATACATAGGGTTTTGAATCCTTATTTACAAATATTAGTTATGATATTATTCTACTGATGTTTTATTATATTTGCATACTGGACTTTTTGGAAGCTGTTTTCATTCATTTGATACAATCCAGCTTTCTTGTAAAACAAAATCTTTAAATAAAACAACTGACTCTGGAATGGATTTGAATTCATAGATGGAATAGTTACTCCTAATTTATCTTAAAAGTTTGATTTTAAGGAAAAAAAAAAAAAACTCTTTTTATCTTGATGAATAATCTTCCTTTCTGAAATACAAGACATACCTTTCTGAACATGCCTGTCACCAAAATGTTCTCAGCTGGTTTAAAGGGTGTAAACATCATGGATTAAATTCACATATCATAATAATGCCATCCTCCATCTTAAAATTTCTGTTGGACTTAGCAGGTCAAGATATAAATTTCTGCCAGTATTTAAAACAAATGAGTAGATTTAACAATATTTGACAGCAGACATTTTTTAGGGTGTTAAATTATAACATTTAACACTCTTCAGTGAGTTGAATTTTCTTATCTTGAATGTTTCTGATTTCATACTTTGGACTGAGTTGGGAAATAGCTAAATAAAAATAATTTTATGAGAAATTTAATTTGATTAAGATTTACATCATTTTGCTACAGATGTAGCAATGCAGTTCATAAAACAGAAGTGCTTTGTTGTTATTTTTGCTGCTCAAATGGAAATTAATAAATTATTTAAATTTAATGGCAAATAAATGGAGCCTTCATTTTTTGATGGACAACCATGTATATAGTAATTTGTCAGATAAGCCTGAATTTTTATCACAGGCAATTTATATTTCTTCTTACATTCTTGTTATTCATAAATTTCAAAAGACTTAAGGGTTTTATATTCCTACCTGTATACATACATTCAGTATCTCCAAATTAAAAAATATAAATAGCAGATCTCCTAGAATATCTAGGAAGTATAATCCAATTATTAATCTCTATTCAGTTTAGCTGAATGCAGCTGCAAAAAAAATGTAGCTCTAATTTGAAGTATGACATAAAGAAATAACTCCTCAGTTTGATTTTATTATAATGCTTAAATGAAATTCTCTAACATTATTAATAAATTATATACTTTTAATAATTTTGCTAATAGCCTTATAAATGGAATTGCAGATGTGACGGTTAAGATAGATTTATTTTATTTTTTATTGCTAGTACCTCATTACCAGAAGTAGGATCTAAACATAGTATGTCTCCATAGTTAGAATGGGGACTATGGCTTTATAATTTTACCTTCAAATATGCTGCAATTCAGTGCAGCCATGCAGTTAAACATGAGTATTTTGTTATCTCCAGCAATGCAGGTATGGAAGCTATTAGCTTGTGAAAAGACTTCTAAGTCATCTTAGGGGCGGTTTTACAGCATTTATATCTAGTTCACATTCAGCTGTAAATATGACTGAGAGCATAGTACCAAATATTTTGAAAGCACTTCTAATACTGACATATAAACTGCTTGCAATAATATTTTCCTTATCATTGTGTCTGAATTTTTTCATATTCAGAAATTGAGAAAGGAGGTTGTGGAGACCCTGGTGTTCCATCCTATGGAAAAAGGACTGGCAGCAGTTTTCTGCATGGAGACACACTTACCTTTGAATGTCAAGCAGCTTTTGAACTGGTGGGAGAGAGAACTATTACATGTCAACAAAACAACCAGTGGTCTGGCAACAAACCCAGCTGTGTTTGTAAGATTTTATTTTTCTTTCTGTATTATTTTTATGACCTCAGCCTCTTGCTTTTCTTAGCATTTGTGACTAGCCAGCAGAAAAACATTTCAAAAGATCTTGAAAACTTTTTTTCAGTCACATGAGGTTTTTTTTTAGCTCAGTAGCAGCTTGTTTATGGGGAACAACGTGTAGGACTGTTTAAAAATATTTTTCCCTTTGATTTATATTTAGTTGAATTATCTAACACTCGGTGTAAATGTGTCCTGAATTACACTCTACGTGAGAAATTTGTTATAGCGTATAAGCGTTCAAAAGGACTTTGGCACATATACACTGATTCTGGCAGTACCAAGCAGTCGGCAGATCTTTTTCTGATATCATAAAAAGAATAAAAATTAATACAAAGAAATGTAAGGGTATCCAACATAGAAAAAGGGGAGGTATGAGTTTTGTTTTAAAAAATAAAATATATTTGTAGGTAAGCTTGTAGATGGATTTAAATGGAGAAGGTTGGGTGGGGGTTGGTTGGTTGGTTGGTTTTACTTTTTTCTCCTGTGGTAAAATAGAGTAAATTTTACTATTACATATGTATGTTAGGCGTGTCAGTTCTCCTCATCACACCTATTTCCTCTAAAGAGTTTTATAATTCAATACTGGATTTTCAAAATAACTGTAGCGAGGTGTCTAGTTCTGCTTGGAGACATATGTGTTTTGCAGATGTGTCAGTACAGGAGTTTAGCGAGCTGAGTAAGACTTCTCTGGACTGAAAGAAGTCTTTTTGTCCACGTAGTGCTGAAATGTGTCTGAGCACATAAGGCCTGGGCATGGAGACAGTGTGACTGTGATTCCCACTGAAGACAGAAGTTGCATTTCTTCACCATGCTGTATTGCATTCGTTTGACATGTTAGTTTCTGTTGGCAGTAGTGTGATAGTACTGTGAATTTTTTTACTTTGCTCCACTGTTTGATGTGCACATTCCCTATGAAAGATAATGGAACTTAAACTTACAACACCTATTTATGAACACAGAGTTCAGTTTGACACATTTGAAGAGCTGAGTAACAGTGTTAATTAGTTAACAGTGAGCCTTCCTCTTTCTGAATGTATTGTACTTCTTACTGAAGTACCAGACACCATCTAATGACTCTGAAATCAGTTAGGAATTGTCTTGATGAAAATTAACTCAAAGGGGTGAAAAAGGAGGAGAGCTGTGAATTATTTTGTTTCATTGCCCTGTGCTATTGAAGGGAAAATAGGAGCTAAGTAAGTTTGTACTATTTACTCTGAAGAATTCTTGATCAAGGCACATCTAAATTTCTGCTATTATTTACATCAGCATGAACTTTATGTACTCAACAAAACTGGCCCTTGTGATTGATTTTTTTGGATTGCCAAATGTGATTTTATTTTTTTTTTTCTTTTCTAAAGGGAATATATGTGAAAATATATTTAAACTTGGAGTTTGTATTTTCATTTCAGAACAAACCTGCCATTTTTTTTTTTTTTTTTTTCAAATTCTGAGACTTCAAGCATTAATTTTTTTTTTTTCTTTGATATTCTCTGTATGCTTCTAAATGATTTCTTGCAGATCCTGGTGCAGTCACTTAGCCTTACTTGAGGAAATAAAACTATGCAAGGCTGACATCTTATATTAGAAAAATATTCTAACAGTCTTTAAAAATTTTTAGGTTGCATGTGTAGTAGTTTTGACATCTAGGGTTCAGAAGCATCCTTTTCCACAAGAATAAAAAATATAAAGAGAAGCATTTACAATGTTCATAGATAGTAGTTTGAGAATCTATTTTTGTTTTCTCTAGTCTCATGTTTCTTCAACTTCACCACACCATCTGGAATTATTCTTTCCCCAAATTATCCTGAGGAGTATGGGAACAATATGAACTGTGTTTGGTTAATTATCTCGGAGCCAGGAAGCAGAATCCATCTGATTTTCAATGACTTTGATGTAGAACCTCAATTTGACTACCTTACAGTGAAAGATGATGGGATTTCAGATTTACCACCTCTTGGCACTTTTTCTGGCAATGAGGTCCCTTCTCAGCTGGCTAGCAGTGGGCACATAGTAAGACTTGAATTTCAGTCAGATCACTCTACCACTGGAAGAGGATTTAATATCACTTATACAAGTAAGAACCTTTGCTTTTATTTTATGCAGACTTAAAATCAAGCTTCTTTATAATGATGAAATCATGTTTTTATTTATAATAAAGAAATAAATTGTAATGCTTGTATAATTGCACTGCTTTCAGCTGTCTTCCTGATAGTGAATAGTTTATCTGAGTCTTTATTTTGACTGTGACAATGTTGAGGAATTATTTAAGGGCCTTTTTGGTTTACACTGTGTAAATTCAGAGCATGTAACTAAAGCCTAGATCATTCAGATCAAAGCATCCAGTGCAAGTGATTTAATATACTTCTCAATGGAACCAGCAGGAACAAGTTCACAAAGGTGTCAAAACTATGGAGATTTTGATCTGAAAAGTATAGAAGTATAAAACGGGACTAGAATGTAATTGCAAATAAATAGTTCTGGGAACCTGCTTCGGTTTTGCATTTTAACTTTCAGTTAGATGGTCTGATAGCTAAGAATACAGACTCCTATGAATATTGATTTCTTTTTTAGCTACCCAATGTGAGTTTCTAGTGTCTAAGAACATAGCTGGTCTCATGCAAAAGTTTTTCCTATAGGAGTGCACTAATTTAAGAGTCATTCTTCTCTCAGGATATTATTTAAGAAAAAACATAACCTCTTTGACAATGCAGTTTTCAAACGCACAAAATTTAGTTGCAGCTGGTCCACAAGTTCACAATTTGTTAAATGTGGGCCTGGCAGTCACATACATACAGGGAGTTACTGAAAGCACAAGACTTTTTGCAATTTGGGAAACCAAGAAGCAGAGTATATGGCTACAGATAGCCATCTGTTGCTTTGTTTATATGAAAGGATATTAACAGTATTCTCAACTGAAAATTCCAGTAACATCATCATTGTAGAAAACATTATTATGTTTGCAATAGACTGCAAACTCTTCTAGAAGTTTTATTAGTAATTCAAAGACAGTACACATATGGAGATTATCTTTTCAGTTGAAGAAATTACCTTCTGAAGTTACTAACAATAGATTTGCCTTTATCACATGTTGCACTGTTCCTATCCTGTGTCAATTAAGATAACAAACAGTGTTTGTTCAGGGCCGAAGTATTTCCTTGTGTTATTTAGAAAGATGCCCCATATAAACCTAGGATTCACAGATTGTAACCCTTTTAAATTCTTAGATGCCTCATTTTTTTTTTTTTTTTATCTGCTTTCACAGAAAGGGGTAGTTGTTGTCCTTTGGAAATTGTCAGGAAAAGAAAAGTAGATTCTCACCTAAACTAAGACTACAGTGATTATAAGATTTACTGGAAAATGTGAGGTCTGAATTCTAGGTCTGCTTCTGCCTGAGATTATTCAGAACCCTTTTTTGATATGTTATTCTACCAAAGTAAAGACAGTAATAAGGACAATCTTTACTATTTCTATTTGAAGCTGGAGAATTATGCAGTCAAGAAAATAATAGTCATGGATTAAATTCCCTGGGAGTCCTGATCACCTAGGTATTATGCAAAAGAGCTTTCCACTGCACTTTTCTTTATTAGAGTAGGAGTTACTGCACACCTGATGTGCTAGAATTATCTAAGAGCACATTTGCCTCCATAGTGGGACACTGAGATGACAAATGGGAGTATCCCTGATTTATGAATCCTTTGTGTTCATAGGAAATGCCTAGTTTAAGTTCAGCTGAAATACTCATACTTCTATGTGTTGCAGGGGAAAAGTGTTGTGCCCAGGGTTTAAATCAAATCAAGATCAAAGCAGATTATTGATTTATTAATGAAATATAACAATCAGATAACTGTAGATTCAGGATCAATAACAGCAATTAAGCAGATAAATCATAATGTTAGACACTTACAAAATCTTAGAATCACAGAGTATTTTGAGTTGGAAAAGATCTATAAGGTCCAACTCAAGTCCAACTCCCCACTCCTCACAGGGCTACCTCAAACTAAACCATATGATTAAGAGCGGCATCATCCAGACATTCTGGAACTCTGATAAGACTCAGTGCCATGATAACACTTGGTGCTTCCTTGTGCTGCCTGGTTTATCTTAGAATCATAGAGTTGTTGAGGTTGGAAAAGACCTTTAAAATCATTGAGACCAACCATAAATCTAACACTGTCAGGTTGTGACTACACCATGTCTTGAAGCACCACATCTACATGTCTTTTAAATATCTTCAGGGATAAGGATTCACCACTTCTCTGGGCAGCCTGTTCCAATGCTTTACAAACCTTTCTGTTAATATTTTTTTTTCCTACTGCCCTATCTAAACCTTCCCTAGTGCAAGTTGAGGCCACTTTGTACCTTGTTACGTGGGAGAAGACAATGATCCCACTATGCTACAATCTCCTTTCAAGTAGTTGTAGAGAGCTATAAGATCTCACGTCAGCCTCCTTTTCTTAAAATTAAACAACCCTAGTTCTTTCAGTTGCTCCTCATAAGACTTGCTGTTTAGACCCTTCGCCAGCTTCAATGCTCTTTGGAGATGCTCCTGCATCTCAACATCCTCGTAGTGGGGCGCCCAAAACTAAACATAGCATTGCAGGTGCAGCCTCACCAGTGCTGAGTACAAGGGGACGAACACCTCCCTAGTGCTGCTGGCCACACTATTTCTGACACAAGCCAGGATGCTGTTGTCTGTATTGGCCACCTGGGCACACTGCTGGCTCCTGTTCAGCTGTCTGTCAACCAACACCCACAGGTCCTTTTCCGCCAGGCAGCTTTCCAGCCACTTTTCCCCAAACCTGTAGCATTGCCTGCAGTTGTTATGACCCAAGTTCAGGACCCAGCACTTGGCCTTGTTGAACCTCGTAAAGTTGTCCTTGGCTCGTCAATCCAGCCTGTCCAGATCCCTCTGCAGACCTTGTCTGAACTCAGACAGATTAATGCTCCTGCCCAACTTGAAAAATTACTGAGTACCATTGATCTCCTTTTCCAGATCATTATAAAGATATTAAAAAGAACTGGCCCCAGTACTGAGCCATGGGGAGCACCACTTGTGAATCTTATCACACATAAGTTTATAAATAACTTTCCACTCTTATGCATCATTAGAGAATGCACTCTAATGCATCCTTATTCTGCCCTGCCCTGTCATGATTTACATAAACATCTTCCCCTGGCAGGACATATGGGTTACACACCCTTACCCCTTTTCCTTGAGATGGCTTCTCTTACTTGCACATACTTCCTGAAAGGCACAGCAGTCCCCTAGGTTTACACGCACCCACAACACTGCTTACTGCAGCTCACTAATCCACATACTGGTGAGAAGACCCCTCATGAGGTTATTCTCACACCCCAGGTAGCCAGTAAAATGACTCGAGTAATTCCCAAATCGGGATTAGAGTGAAGTGACACCAGGGATCCTCCAAGCCACAAATTCCTAATTTATTTGATAACAACAATATTGACATGGTAAGAAAACAATTTTAGGTCCTCACAATGGTATTGGCATGATAAAAAAATAGCTTTAGGTATGGCATGATAAGAAAATGACTTTAGGTAATCACAACAGTATTGGCAAAATACCATGTTCAAACCTTGCAATATCTAACAGTTCAAAACTTGCAATATATGGCTATTTCTACTGGGAAATTTATATATATATATTTAGAGAGAGAGAGTGAAAGAAAAGAGAGAAAGAAAAGAAAGAAAATAAAAAAAGTTTTCACCAGTCCTGGGTCCAGTGTTGGTCCAGCCATGATATCCAGGTACTGAGGGGTATCACCTGGGGTTCTGACTGATCCCTTTATATAGGCAGGCTTACTCCTCTTCTGGGTAGGAATTTGGACTCACATTACTTTACTGTCATGCATAGTCTGCACTTTCAGAATCTTCTTGAAATGGGTTAGTAGGCAGTCTGTGCTCTCTCTACCACCAGCTCCTCACATTTACTCAGGACAAGCAAGCCCAGTGCCAGGAAAGTGCTGCCACCTCTGACTGCATCCTCCTGCCCCTGCAACCTTGGTGTTGTCATGGAAGTCATCACTTGGATTCAACCCCAACCAGACTTCTTTAGTGAATCTTAGAGACATCAATTCCAATTCCACTGGTCTGCCACAGTCACACACAGAAGTGTGGATCGCACCCTGTGTTGCCACCCCAGCAGATGGAGGCAGACTGCTCTAAACATCCCACTGGGAGGTTATTCTCTCTGACACAGTCAGTGGCCATAGATTTTCTAGCAGTTGTCTCTATTTCTGTTGAATTAGCTGCAGCGTGAAACCAATGTTCCCATTTTGTTGGAGGCAAACAGCTGAATTTCCTCCAGACAGAAATTTAAGCAAAATGTTCTTCTATATCTTAAGCCACACGTACCTAAAAAGGCTCAGAATTTGAATTGTTACAGAAATCTGAATATCACTGGATTTAATGACATTTTACTGAGTTTTTGATACTTTTAATTTTGTTATGGTCTTGTTACTTATCAAAGGTTATTTCCCCCTCCAAAAAAAGAGAAACATTCTTTAGAGGGATTGTTGTCTTATTCTTTCTGTTACTATTGTTGTTGTTGTTACCATTATTACTATTCTTTACTATTATTATTATTGTTATGTTTTTATCAGCCTTTGGTCAGAATGAGTGCCATGATCCAGGCATTCCTATAAATGGGAAGCGTTTTGGTGACAGGTTCCTTCTGGGAAGTTCTGTTTCCTTTCACTGTGATGATGGCTTTGTGAAGACACAAGGCTCAGAATCCATAACATGTATTATGCAAGACGGAAATGTAGTATGGAGCTCTACCGTCCCACGCTGTGAAGGTAAGGGCACAATCTTTACTTTGCACCTACAATTTGAATAATTAACTATTTAAATTGAGCTTACTTTTTACATTTCATACATAAATAAGGTGTAGCTGAAGTAATTAATTCATCTGATTTAAACATTCTTCCAGTCACATGAGTGCAATAATAGAAACAAGACAGCTTGCTTTTATATTCCTGGAATAAATTAACATCTAAAAATCTACTTACTATTCTTTTCAGGTTCTGATTGTCACCATCATTACTCAGTTGTGAGTTATGGCTGTTGTAACAGTTTTGGCTGTAGCACACTGAAGTACATAATTATCTACCACATAAAAAAAGTGAAGTAAAGTTTCTATTTAAAACTCCTTTTAAAAAATTTGCACCTCTTATTTTCTAAGAATGAAAGTATACCTGAATTTCTGTAGGATAATAGCCTACAGTGCCTTTTTCCCCCGAGAATTGTATTGAAAATCAGAATTATGTTTAATATTCATTCTATTATATTCCCCCCAAAATTCCAAATTTATTTGTTTGTTCTTGCCTAGGTGAATAGATAGAGTAAAATGAGCTATACTTAGGATTAAATTTCTCTTCAGTATGAAATACACTAATAAGAAAAAAAGAAAAGTGGGTTGATTCCTTGATGCTTAATAGTGACAGGTACTAAAGCAAGACATATGAAGCTTGTGGGGTTTTTTTTTTGAAAAAGTGTGTCTGCTAAAATTAATGTTCAAAAAAATTTTATCTTTTAGTATAAGATATAGTGAGTCAATCAATTAAATTATACTTTTTTCAAGAACCTAATGCAAACCTTCTAAATGGCATAACTTTCACACCTCCATTAAATTCAGTGCCATTGCAGTAACTTAAGGATCTTGATTGTATCATTTTTATGGCTTTTGTTGTTTGGGCAATTTGACAACTCAATTTTCACAAGTCTGTGCGTTTCCAAGAAAATTTAGAGTTACTAAAAAAACCTCTTAGCAGCCTGATAGAAGTAGCATATGTGAACCTAGGTGTTGTACTAGCAAGATATCTTATCCTCATTAAGTCATGTAATGAGTTATGCAGTAGAGCAAGGTTTTTGCCTAGAGCAAAACCAGCCCATGAGTTTCTTCATCAAAAGGTGTTTCAAGCTCTGTATGCAATTGATAAAAGTATTCAGTATCATCTTTGTGTAACTTTATTTCCACAAACACACAGATAGAGGACCCAAGATGAGCAGTTTGAGGGGGAAAAAAAAAAAAGATACAGAAATTACTTGCTTAAGTATTGCTCAATTGTTCTGTCTTTGAACATTGAAGGATGTTTACCTAGTTTTTAGTGAGACAAAGATTAAACTATTAGATGGGGTTTTTGTGTATGTTGCCTGTTGTTTGTTTTCTTATAGGAGAGAGTACAGTTCTTTTAAGTTACATTCAGGATGTGTTCCTTTCTGACATGGATTCTGTGATTCTAGCTGAAAATGAAGAAATTTCTGTGCTTGGATTATAGTGTAGACCAAGCATCCTCGCTAGTTCATTTAGAGATAACTTAGTTTGCTTCTAGTTGTCTGAGATTTCTGAGTAACTCTTGGGTTTTGTTATTGCTCTGCTCTGCCTGTATATACTTAACAATTACTATAAGCAGCACCTGGAAATACATGAAGTGATTTGTTATGATCAGGTGAGGATCAACAGTCTTCTTGTTGTTCTTGGGTTTAATATGATAAAATTTAGTTTAAAAAACACCATGGAGTACGTTTCATTCTCTATTAACAATAGACATGTACTGTAAATGCAGTTTTTGTGGCCAGTCATTCCTCAGACACAACTCAATGTGTATGTTTTGTATTTCATGGGTTACTTTTTTTTCCCCTGACTTTCTTAAATCCAGAAAAACTTCCCAGAGATAAGTGAAAGTCATGAATGAAATCAAATAACTTCTGAGTTATTTTTTCTTGTTGTTGAAAATGTTGAATCAAAGCTAGGAATATTAAGTTACTACTTACAAATTCATGTTACTATTCATTTCCATGTGGCTTAATAGATTTGCTTGTCACTCCTTAGAGAAACAGAAGAAAAGTGACAAGATCTCCTGCACTGCAATATGGAATTTGCTGATAACGATACCACTGACTACTTGAGGATAATACAAATGATACTAAGATAAATATATCTGACCTTGAAAGCTTTCCTCTTTTAGACTGCTCAATAGCCTTTGGTAAAATATAATATCCCAAGACCCTGTGCTATGACAGCTTAATTTTTGAGGGGACTTATGTTTCCCAAAATTTGTTCAGTCATTTCTGCTGTTGTTTAATCCTGTGCCAAAGTCCTCTGATCCTGCTCTGAAACATGCTTCCTGTCAAGCCCTCTTACTTTCACAGCCATGTTGCAATATTTTTGATATTGCAACATATTATTTTTTTATTTATGCAATAATATGTTGCAATTTTATTTAATATATAAATTATAAATATATAAATATTGCAAATATTTATTTTTTATATTTTTTATTCCAGTTTTAGTAAGGTTTTTGACACTGTCATGTAAGATGCTCTTAGACAAATGAGTCAGGTATGGGGTAGGAAAGTGAAGCAGTGAGGTGGACTGACAACTGAATTAACTGGCTCATAGGCTTCTGGTCAGTGGCACAAAGTCCAGCTGGAGCCTAGTCCATAATGGTGTCTGTACTAGGTTCAATACTGTTTGAAATCTTCAGTAATGGTCTGAATTCTGGGACAGAGCGCACTCTGAGCAAGTCTGCAGAAGAATGAGATGCACCATATGCTTGTGGTGCTGTTCAGAGGGACCTTGACAGTATGGGGAATTGGACTGAGAGGAAATGACAGGTCCTTCACCTCTGTTCAGCATTGATGATGTTATATTGAGTGCTCTGTGCAGTCCTGGGATCCTTCAGGACAAGAGAGATGTAGCCATATTGCAGTGAGTCCAGTGAAATGTCACAAATATGTTTAAGGACTTGGAGCATCTGCCATACAAGAAAAGGCTGAAACCACTGGTGTTGTCTAGACAGGAGAAGAAAAGGCTTAGGACTTGGGATGGATCTTAGCAATGCACATAAATACCTGATGGGACAGTGTAAAGAAGATGAAGCCAGACTCTTCTCAGTGGTATCCAGTGACAGGACAAGAGGAAATGGACACAAACTAAAATACAAGAAATTATGTTTAAATATAAGAAAAAAAACTTTCATTCTGAGGGTGATCAAACACTGAAACGTATTGCCCAGAGATGTTGCCAAATGTCTGCTTTTGGAAGGACAGCATGATCCTGACTGGATATGATCATGTGTGATCTGCTGTAATTAGCAGGGGGTGGCTTAGATGATTTCCAGAGGTCCCTTCCAACTTCAACCATTCTGTGGTTCAATGGAAGATTTACAACAATCAGTTCCATTGTGCTGAATGATTACTCCAAAAGGTGTTAGATGGCACAGTACAATGAAATAATTAACTATGCTACTTGGAACAATTTTACATTTCCATATAAATGAGGAATCCTAGAACTAAAAAATGACCAAGCAGTTTTTAATGAGTTATTGTGCTTCTCAACAGAAGGAAGGCTGGCGGAGTCAAGTGCCATGCTCTATGTATTAAGATATGTGTAGAGTAATAAATTGTGAATGATTAAATACATTGAAGGACTTGTGATTCTGAAGCAAAGTGCTCATAATGTAATGAGAAAATTTCCTAGTATCATATATTAAACTTATTTTTGTATGCTTCTTTTAATTCCTTGAACATATAATATTGTATTAGAAATACTGTGTTTGATACAGGTATACACACTTTTTTTCTTTCAGCACCATGTGGCGGACATTTAACAGCATCAAGCGGTGTTATCTTACCACCAGGGTGGCCAGGATATTATAAAGACTCCCTTAATTGTGAATGGGTGATTGAAGCAAGACCAGGACATTCCATTAAGATCACTTTTGACAGGTGAGAATCATAAACTCAAACAAGTAGTGTATAGGCACAAATATTTGCTTTAACATTGAAGAAGAAAAAAAATCATTAGGAACCTAATCCAGAAAAGAAATTGCAATGCAACACAATACTATTCCTCAGGTAGAAATTAAATTTTAAAACTAGATTTATATTGTCTTCATGTTTTAAAGAATTTGCATTAACTGTCAAGCTCCTAGCACACAAATAGGGATAATGTTTGGACTTTTCACTACTTCTATATTCAGGTACAACTATATGTTGTCCCTGGTAATGACAAGGTCTTACTGTAATACTGCATAATTTTCATAGGGGGAAAACAATATGAAAAAAGTTCTTGGTGTTATGTGTTGGCTACATTTTTTTTTTTTTTTCCATAAAGAATTTATTCTTATGGAACGTGCATTACATAGATAGACAAATCCATATTGTGTTGAGTGAGCAGATGGCTGATAGGTCAAAACCAGTTATAGTAAATGGGGATACATCAGGTGTCCAGTCACAAGTATGCTTCCACATAGCTCAGTTTTGAGGCCAGTACTCTTTAATGTTTTTATATAGATCTTGATACAGGAATCAAATGTACATTAAGTACATTTTTTAACATGAAGGCTTTGTTACCCAGATTAAAAATTGGATGTAAAACCTTTTTGTTACTTAGAAGAAACTAACTTTGATGTCTGATACACCATTGCCAATTTACAAATGAGTAAGAAAAAATACGATAAATGCAAAAGATAAATTAACAGATTTTGTCAATTAATTTACAAGTACAGTGTTTTGTCAATTGTTAATTGCTTTGTCTTTTTAGGGAAAAGTACAATGCTTTTATACTTTGCTATATGACTTGCCATCACAGATAGTGCTGCCAGAATGAAACTTTGCACAAGTGTAAATTATCTGACTCTTGAGCTAATGAAACTTTAATGGTGCTAGATAAACGTGACTTACAAGAGTACTTAGAAACTTCCCAGAAATAGCAGCAAATTAGAAAGCAGCTATGAACATTTTACATTTGAAACATTTTGCATTTCAGATGATGACTAATGCCTGGAAGGGTAACAAAAAAGTAAAATCTAATTGATTTGGGCCATAAGGAAAGGGACTAAAATAACTGCTGACTGGAATATTTTTGGTACTTTGAATATTGATGAAAACTCATGGTTTATGAACCAGACCTCCTTATTTGAAAGCTACCTATGTTCGAAGAATATATATGAAGAATAACATAGCATTAGTGAAGTATTTTTCAAATTCTCTGTGAATATTTGGAGAATATCCTGCCTTTTGCTAACATAAATATGCCAATAAACATTAAAATAAAGTAAAACTCCCCAAAAAAGTAACTCTTCATTAAGTACTTTCAGTAAGGATGCAGAACTTCCAATAACAAATTATCTTGATTTATCTTTATCAAACCCTCAAAAAGAGACAAGTGAACTAGAAATAAATTTCTAAGTTGGAGATGAACAAAGATAGTTGTAATGGGTAGCAATTCCCATAAGGGTTATTTTAAGTTTTCTGTCTCCAGCAAGGGGTTGCAACCCACTGTTGATGTATTGCCCTCCTAAGAGAACTGCTATTGCTGTTGGAGAGCACTTCATTCTTAATAAGTTTCCTCCACAAATATAACTGTCAAAATAATTGAACCACTGAATTATTGGTCTCAAGTCCATTCATTGTGAGTACAAATAAAGTATTTAAATCATGTATTGTTCCTCCTTCCACTGCAGGATAAATCAATGTATAATCTCTGAAATTAGGGAAAGGTACTGGAAAACTGCCAAGTACTTTAGTGGTGCCCTCTGTGAGTGTTTGTTTTGGTAAATTAAACAGAACCAGAGAACCTTCACAGACAGAGGAAATCATGTGTTTGTGCAGTTAAATTGTTGAAATTGTCTCTTAACATACTTCTTGAGCTTGCAACTAGAATTCTACCAAATAATTATCAAGCAAGGCCAGGAGTTAGTGTGAGCAAGCAACCACTCATAATAGGAATTTTGAATAATATCTCCCAGCCTGAGAGGCTAAGGGATGTGTCTTATAGTATGGATACAGGCCATTACATGCTGGCTGGCTTCACTGGCAGAAACTAGTCCTGAAAAATGCTTAATGTATTCACAAGCCTGCAAGCCCTGTATTGCACTTAGAGTGGATGGACAGCAGTGAAAGCAATCATCTGCATTTCAGCCAACATGGCCAAACAGACTAAGGAGCTTGGTTGAAAGCACTGTAAATCTAGAGAGTTTTCTGTGTGAAGAGGAAGAAATTATAGGAAGAGCCTAAGTCAGTTACAAAGCCCTCATTATCTCTGATAGTTAAGCAAACAAACACTTTCTTATTTCTGACTGTGTTTTTGTTTTCAGGGAATGATAAGAGCAGAGCTGTAGAAGTTGTAGCATACTTACTAAATCCAAACTTGCTGTTACTGATACAGATGTGTCTGTGCAGATGATTTTGCATAACCAATGCTAACTGGTTTGTAAAATATAGTGGCCTGGCTGGGAAACTTATTAATTGTCAACATTCCATAATAAAGCATACAGCTTACTTACACTTTGAAGGAATGCCCCATGTATTTTCCCTTTTCTGAATGTTTAATAATTTGCAGTTTTCTTTAATTACAAGAACACAGTTTCTTATCTCCAGACACACTAAACATGTGTCCCATATTGGCAAGACAGTTTACAGGCATTCACCTTGAAAAAATAGTTGTATTAAAACAAACAATATTACAAACAAAACTACAACATGTATAGGGATGAGATTTTCAGCTCTCAGAAGTTTAACTAGTAAGCCCTATGGGATATGAAGAGGAAATCTCAGAAGATGGGTATTTCAGGAAGATTAACACCTTATAAAAATAAGAAAATTGGATTTGCAAATATATTTAGACCAGTACAGATATCTGTGTAATAACACAAACTTTTTTTGACAGGAAAATTGATGCGTGCATGGTTTAAAAGCTGCGGTTTGCAACAATATCTGATACAATCACAAACTGTCTTGAAAAGCATCTCATGTGAAAAATGCCAGTCAATGTTTTATCTACAGAAAGAGCAGATTTGAGATGTTTAATTTAAGAATAATTAGAAGTGGGTGGCTGCTCACACAGACATCTTTTATGAACTGGAGAAATGTGATGTGTTTTGATGTGGATTGGCAGACATTGACTCTGTTCTCATTTTTAAAGTTTTTTGTTCTTGTAAATCAACTATCTCATTAGTCTCCTCCTCTTTTTCCATTCTTGTCTATATTATCTGTGGGGTTTTGACACATTGGGATAAACTTGGCAATTATTTAAGAGTAAACTGACTTCAAAATCAGGGCTTGATGAAAGTTTAGTATTTTTGTACTGCTTTACTTCACAGGACAAAAAAAATTTTTTTAAAAGTGAAGTAGCAAATTATGTTAGGAAAAAATAAGCAATTGAATATGCCAAATAGCAAATATCAAATAATGAAATTATTTAGATGAAATAAATATTAATGAAGTTGTTCCTAGGATGTCTAACTATTATTTAGCCTGCAGGCAACAATTGTTTTGAATCTTCATAATGCAGTTTTCTTTGAGACAATTTGTATTTTTGTACCCAGATTCCCCACTAAGTGCCTTTCTCAAGCCCAGTCACATGGTTGATCTCAAGTATATTACATTTCTTACAAATGGTGTATCCTCAGTAATACACCAATGGAATGACAGATATGCAAATTTTATATGTAGGATATCCTCGATCAGTTACACATGGGTTACATTTCCCGCAATTAAATAAAATAACACTGTTCCTCTACCTACCAGGTGATTTCCATCTTCCTTTTCAGATTTCAGACTGAAGTTAATTATGATACTTTGGAAGTCAGAGATGGGCCAGCTAACTCGTCACCATTAATTGGAGAATACCATGGAACACAAGCACCCCAGTTTCTTATCAGTACAGGAAATTACATGTATCTGCTGTTCACTACAGATAACAGTCGTTCCAGCATTGGCTTCCTAATTCACTATGAGAGTAAGCTGATATTTCTTTGCTCGATTTTAATTTAATTTTGAAAATAACATTCAATTTGAAAATGTGCAAATCAATGTGAACAAATAAATTTCAGTAATTATATTTGTATAAGAACAAATAACATTTACTCTATGCTGTACTGACAGATAATTTTGAAACAAGTAATTTGGGAAATTTTTTCTTCTGGTGTTCTTGTATATTATTCAGAATATTTATGGCCCTGGGTGTTTAACCAAATGGAAAGTAATTTTAGAAACTTGCCATTGTGAGTAAATATTGTTCATTTTTGGTTTGGGTTTTTCCTCTCTTCTCTCTCTCTTTTGCTTTCTCTAGTTTTAACACACCTTTGTAGTACTGAGCAGAATTGGGCCTTGTCCATGATAATTCCAAAATGCAAATAAATGCATAATAATATCTCATGGTGAACTACAGAATAATAAAATTTTCTATTCTGGGTAGGTTTCTGCATGAGTCAAATGCAGATAATGATTTTTACCTGATTGTATTCGATCAAAAAGTTGCCGTTATGCTTCATAAGACAGTCCTTAAATATTTATATATTTTTATTTATTTTAAGCCCCCTCTCAGGTAGATGTCTTTTGTTCTGTTAACTATTAAAATAGTAATAAAATATCTGCCTTACACATTCTTAACAAGGAAAGTCTGATTATGAAACTTAGAACAATATTCATATATTTGGTTTTTATCTTTGATTAAAAATTTAATATCTCACACACATGACACTTGTTTGTAGTATTATTTCTCTAGGTAGCCTCATAAAATGTCATAATTAGATTTGATTAGTGCATTTTAAACTTCGAGATTGGATTAGATGTTTAACAAATAAAGTTTAAAGAAGGGTATTAAATGATCTTTATCTTCTTTTATACAGACATCCCATGCATAGAATTAAAAAAAAAAAAAGAACAAATAACAACAAAAAAGACACCACAACCTTTTATATAAAAGCTAATGCATTTCCAATTTTTCAAGTCATAACAAAAGCTAAAAATTTTGTCTTGCAGTCTCTGAGTAGGTTGACTCCCTGAATAAAGCATCTTTCTCTTTCAGTAGAAGTAAAATTTTAAAAGGTAGCTGGTATTATTTTTTGTTTAGAAATTAGTAAGAAGACAATTTTTTTTTGTTTGTTTTTAATTAAATAAGCTACCAGTTTAAGCAGTGAGATTTTATATTTTGTGGTGTGTTATCTTTCCCATTAAATATTATCTGACAATTGAATTTCAATACTTGTTAACAAAAAAATTAATATCCTTTCTTAGTTACAGAGAGTGACTGCTGTTTCTCTTATGCTTGTATGTCATTTTGAATAACATTCAGCTGTCAGATTAAACATTTAAATGTCAGTGTTGACACAAAAGCATCTGGAGCCTGAAACTTACATTTTGGGCAACAGAGATCTGCTCAATGCAATCTGTAGTGTTCAGAGAACAGTTCAGTAGAATTGATCTGAGGTAGAATCCAGGGACTGTATTTGGTTGCCTAGCATGGAGAGTTAGAGTTCTTTTAGGTATGATGCCACCTGGTTGCCAAGTACTACGCTAGAGATTCAAATATTGCACAAGTCCTTTGCCATGTCTACCAATTCCATCCCAGTTATCATAGAATCATAGAATGGCACTGAATATATATATTGGGACAACTGAAGTTATCTCCTTGTAACTTTGCTGCATGTGTTGCACTCCAATGGCAACATTGGAGTAACAAGCCAACGAAGTCAGTGTTTTCAAAGAAAAAAACCTTAATGTTATAGTCTACTAGGAACAGGGGAGACCAAAATTATATTTTGATTGCCCTTATAGGCTTAGCTATAGAAGTTGATAATGTTAAAGATATCACAACAGATCTTCTATGTGTTTCACAGTTCTTACACTTGTAGAAGAAACGACAATCAGTTATAAATTTTAAGAAAAGTTTCTGAATATTTTCTTTGGAAATCCAGATAACTGTCTTATTTAGAAGTGTTCTAAAAATCTTCTAATTATAGTCATAACTTTGACAGTAAATTAAATCCTTGAACTGTGAAGCAGAAGGATCTTGATTTTGCTTAAAATAAAAAGCTCAGTATAATCTATACTGAGTTGCTGCTGAGATGGCAGTAATATTCTATTAAGCTAAAATACAAGTGTAATGCAGCTTTAATAAAAATATGACCCCTTAAATGTACTTCATATATGAAGGTAATTTGTTAATTCTCTGCCTTAAATGTCTGCAATCCGGCTTTTTCTTGACACTTTTAACATAGCTAATGCAAGATGCTTCAGGTTAACTCTTATGCATCTAAGGAAAAAAAATAATGAAGTGCCTATAATAGTCTTTAAGTAAAATTACTGATAAGAATTCTTTAACCAGCATGTGTTATGGCTCATTTATATCTTCCTGATCTCTTAGCTTCTTTAGTTATGTGGGTTTGAATTTGTTGTGTGTGTTTTTTTTTTTTTTTTTTTATAGAGTGCCTCATTCTGTGAAGCAGATTGTGCAATCCTACTCTTTTTCTTAAATGAAACCAGATAATTTTATCCACAGATTCCATTTATGCAAAGCTGCCTTTTATTACAGTAATTTTAAAATTTGCATTTGCTTAAGCAAGAAATTTTCAAAGAAACTTGAGCAATTATTTCTTAAAGCCAGATACATGTAGAACTCTGTGTTTATTTATGGATTAATATTTCCTTATATACTAAAATTTATCTTAAAAATGAAACAAATTATATTTTATTTATGCATTGAGGCAGTATTCATCTCATTTTACTATGTACATCAGTACGTATTTGATAAACATTACAATTCTCTTACATAGTCAGGGAAAATTGTTTAAAGTCAAGGATTACCCATCTGTGTAAAAAACTTTCCTTTCAGGTCACTGAAAAATTCTAGCAAAATTAGCAGGGGTCTGGACTAGGTGACCTCCAGAGGTCCCTTCCAACCTGAACCATTACGTGATTCTGTGACACTGTGAACAATTTTGAAAAATTTTATGCAATGAGCAGCCAGAAATTAGTAGGTAGTTGTCTAATTCAAATTTTCAAGGATCTTGCTGTGATCCCTAGATCCAAAACTATGATAATTTTATTGAAAATTTTTATGATCATGTATGAAGGACATTTACAAATTCCGAGTATGATTCCAACCTACAATTATAGCAAGCACTACGGTAGAGAGGGTTACAATTCAAAACAAGGTAGATGAACTGAAGAAATGGTCTGAAAATAAAAAAAAAAAAAAAAAAAAAAATCAAATTCTATACAGAAAAAAAGCTAAGCATAAGTAAGGAAATAATTACAGAAGACGACTTTTTTTTTTTTTTTTTTTTTTTTTAATGGGACTATTTTATCTAGGTCTTGGAAAATCATTATTTCACTTCACTTGATGACCAGAGAGAATATTATGTCCAGCTTGGGAACCCTATTTAAGAAAAAGTAGGAGTTTGTTAACATGGAAAACATGAGTCATTAAAAGGTCTTGTAAGAGTAGCACAACCTCCTTCTTCCCTTTCATCCTCTACCCCCACCTTGTGTCCACCTTCACTCTCTCACTTCTGTCTTCCCTTTTTCAAACACCTTCTCTTCCCCCCTTCTTTAGTTGTTAGAAGGAACCTACTTATATGAACAACTTTTATTTAGGCAACATTTTGCTCTTACTGTCCAAAAAATTACTTTTGTCATCTGCTTTATTCATGTTCTGGATGATTCTACACTGCTGGCAAATAGTAGCACTCTAGCTCCCATCTGATACACTCTCATTTTTCAAAACATTTTTGAGACTCACTGAATAACACAGCAACTGCTCCCTAGCTAGCATGAATGGGTAACATAGTGCTTATGGTACACAGACTTGTTTTGCATTTTATTTTTCTTATCAGACTATTTTCTTCATCCATTTTGTGCAATGAGACAACTTCTTAGCTGTCTTACTCTTTAATATTCCATTTCTCTAATGATTTTAACTATATGAGCTGTGAAATGAAAAGTAGAATTTTGTATTATATATGAGTACATTGTATATAAAACTGTATAGCTCTTGTGCTTCAAGCTTACAGCAACAATTTCATTTCCTCTTTAGATATCTAAAGGGATATAATGATTAAAGCAGTTTCTAAAAATCACTTGGAATTCTGAGTGTTTGCAAAGTATGCATTTTAATAATCAATGAAGCATCTAATATAGCTAGCAACAACAGGTTGGTAAATGTTTGATGAAATGTCAGTATTGACAGAATGAAGTTTTGGGGATGATCACCCATATTTTTCAATAATTCAGGGATGTACAAAATCTTTTATTTGTATATTTACTGTTTGCTCTGGAATGCGTGTTACGTTCCTTTGAAAAGGGAATGATTAAATTGTAGCATAGAATTATCAGCTTATCTAGTTCCCACTGCTACATGGAGTGAAATGGAAGGGAGCATTTTTCAAGGGAGCTACTGAGCATGCTCTTATTGAGAAATACTGCATTATGTAGGGTGGGAGAGAAAAGACATATATTTTTCACCCAGACTTTAATTTTATATTTACTGGGCCAATTGTTATGAATAGTATTATATCAGCTCTTTCCAACTATAAGCCCAGAGTTGATCACTTTGGTGCAAGAATTTCTCATTTATAGTTTAATATTGTCTTTTTTGTAGTCGGAACTCTTAGTACTGCCCATTATTAAGCTTGTCTTTCGTTATCTCCTATTAAGAAAAAAACCCAATCTTTGTCCAAAGAAGCAAAGAGAAATTTCTGCTATGTTCAGGGTTGCTAAACCTTACATATTGTATATTTTCCCCTGGGAATGAAGCTGTGTTGCCTGAACTGACTTTTTTATTTATACAGCACTATTTCAGTCAGGAACATGGAAGTTGATGGAGTTGTTACAGCTTTTGGTTTCCTTTCAAAAATCTGCAACAACGTAGTCAATGTAATCTAGAGTTGTCCTTTCAAAAAGAAACTGATGAGTTTATCTGTTCTTTGTGACTCAGAATCCCACAGCAGTTGATGTGTTGAGGCAGTGATGGAAGAGTTCCCTAAGAGGAAGGAAATTTAAGAGCACTAGTGTGGACCACCATTTACTCTAGTATACTTCAGCACATGAAGTGTAGCTTGTCTGAAAAAAGCTAGTGTGTATCAAACATAAAATTTCATACACAATTAATATTTATTTATGGCATATACAGTACAGAATATTATATACTTCAAATGGTTATTTGAGTCTATATTAAGCCAGGTGAAGGGAAACTAAAAATGCACTGCATCAGCTAACATGGTACATTTGCATTGAGAGCATACAGCCAAGTCTAGAAGAAACTTCCTCATCTAGAATTTAAGTATGTCAGGGATACATCATGAAAACTAGATCATAAGCTTCCAAATCTGAATTCTAGCTGAGATCTAAGAACAGTTAGAGAGTAGTTGTAGAGAATATTTCTGTGCAAGCTAGTGTCATTATTTATGATATTTTAGTTTGTAGTCCTGTTTCCAACCCTCACATCTATAATTCAAAAATCTTTACTTTATGCCCTGATAAATCATTTTTTCCCTTAGTTTTGAATTCCTCTAATTCATATGCTTTATTCCTAAGGTAGTGTGGTAGTCCTGGATAAATAAAGAGGGGTAAAAACAGTAAACTGAGAGTATAACTTCCACAGAAATAGTTACACAGGGAGCTGAGAGGACTAACACCTTCAGGATGTGCTTAGGGGGCTGAGGAGTTAGGAAATGCATAATGCCCTGCTATAGAGAATTTTATGCTGTCAGGAAGGAACATCTTTGGCAAAAAGTAGACTGGAGTGAGTCATGCTAGAAATTCAGGTCATCTGTGAGGAATCACATAAAATCTTTAAAAACCTAAGGAGAACTGGTGTTGCTCAAGGCTCTCACAGCATCACAGAGTGATGACATCACCCATATGAAATCAGGCCAACTTATAGCATTCTTCCCAACCCAGCGTGAAAATAGAGAAATTAATGTGAAAATTCGTTTGAAAATATTAAGTAAATGCAATGGGTGTTAAAGCTTTGAGGTAGATGTGTTTAGATTTTATCCCAAAATCTAACAAGGAAATCTAAACTCAAAAAAACAGATCCCGAACAGATATTTTTCAGAATGAAGTCAATAGAAATAATTGCCTGAGAACAAACATTAAAGTTTATAAATGATCCCCCACCACACACACACATGTACTTCCAATCTGGTTTTGGGCAGTTCGTTGGGGGTGTGGTGTGTGTTGTTTTTGTTTGTTTTTTAACAAATCAGTGGAATTTTGGGTTACAAAACACCCTATATAGGCTCCCTCTGAGGCTTGACTGTGTGTTTGCTACCTGCTGTTTTCAGCCGGCTTCTAGTTTTTCCTTTTCCTGCAGACTTCATGCTGGCTGTCTCCTTCATATTCTGTCATCTTTTTACCCACTACATCCAGTATCTTCAAGGTTTTCCTCTGGACATGCTCAGCTTCTCATAGAGGAAGGAATAATGTCCCCGTCCATCTGAAGCCCAAAGAGGTTCTGCCTCTGTCATTCTTGTTGCCAGGCATATGACACAGTTGTATCAGGTGTAGGAGGGAAAGTTTTGGTTACAGGGGGGCTGCAGGGGTGGCCTTTGTGAAGAGAGGCCACAACTGCCATGTGCTGGACACAGCCAGTTCCAGCCAGCTCCAGCAGACGTGCACCATCAGCCAAGTTGGTGGCACTTCTGTGATAAAATATTTAAGAAAGGGCATAATGTTGCATAGGTGAGTGAGGAGTGACAAATCCTACAAATACCAAGGTCAAAGAAGAAGGAAGTCCTTGAGGTGGGTATTCCCTTGCAGGCCAAGGACAAGACCACAGTGAAGCAGATATCTGTACTGCAGCCTGTGGTGGGGCTCGTGTCAGAGCAGGTAGATATTCCCTGAAGGAAGCTGCAGGCTCCTGCAGGACCAGGTTTATCCTGAAGGACTGAACCTGTGGGAAACCAAGGACTGAACCAATGCTAGAGCAGGGGGAAAGCCTGAGGAGGAAGGAGCAGCAGAGAGGAGCTGTTATGGACTGACCACAATCCAGATTGCCCAGCCATGTCACACAGCTGGAGGAAGGGTGGGGAGGCAGGGAAGTTGCAAATGCAGAAGTGAAATTAGGTGTGAGAAGAAGGGGGTTGTGGAGGGCTGATCATGGCTGGACACCAGGTGCCCATCAAAGCCACTCTAACACTTCCCCTCCTCAGCCAGATGGAAAATAAAAACTTTTCTCAAGATAAAGACAGGGAGATCACTCAGCAATTATTGTCACAGTCAAACCAGACTAGAGAAAATAAATTTATTACCAATCAAATCAGAATAGGTTAATGTGAAATTAAAATCTTAAAAACATCTTCGCTCCACCACTCCTTTCTTGCTAGCCTCAACTTCACTCCCAATTTTCTCTAACTTCCTGCTCTGAGAGGTGCAGGGGGCTGGGGAATGGGGTTTGCAGTCAGTTTATTGCCTCTCCTTCCTCCTAGGGGGAATGAATCCTCACACTCTTCCCCTACTTCAGCATGGGTTCCCTCTCATGAGAGACAGGCCCCCAGTGTGAGTTCTTCCCACAAGCTTCAGTTCTTCGTAAACTGCTCCAGTGTGGGTCCTTTCCATGGGGTTTGTCTCTCAGAAATAGACTGTTCCATCATGGATTCCCCAGAAGGTTACAAGTTCTGCTGGCAAACCAGCTCTAGTGTGGGCCCCTCTCTCCACCAGCCCACAGTTCCTGCTAGGACACTACACACAGGGCCACAGTATCCTTTGGGCTGCTTCAACGTGGGGTCTGCCATGGGCTGCAGGTGGGTATCTGCTCCACTGTTAATCTCCTTGGGCTGCAGGGGGACAGCCTGCCTCACCATGGTCTCCACCACAGGCTGCAGGTGAATCTCTGCTCCAGTGCCTGGGGCAACTCCTCCCCTTCCTTCTTCCCTGACCTTGGCATCTTCAGAGTTGTGTCTCACATATTCTCACTCCTTTTTTCTGACTGCAGTTGCTGTTGCACAGTCATTTGTTTGGTTTTTTTTTCCCCTTCTTAAATACACTATTACAGAAGCACTACCACCGTCACTGACTGGCTCAATTACAACTACAGGTGAGTCCATCTTGGAGCCAGTTGGCACTGGCTCTCTAGGACACAGGGGAAACTTCTAGGAGCTTCTTACAGAAGCCACTCCTGTAGCTTACCCGTAACCTGTCCAGGAAAATCCAATAGAGGATTAGTGGAGGGGTGTTTTTACTTTTTCTCTTTGTTTCTCACCATCCTACTCCATTTTTAATTAGCAATACGTTAAATTAATCTTCCTCAAATTGAATCTGTTTTGACTGTGATGGTAATTGGTAAGTCATCTCCCTGTATTTAACTCAGACCATGAGCTTTTTAATCTCATTTTCTTACTTTCTTCCCCTGTACTGTTGAGGGCAGGAGTGAGAAGGTAGGGGACTGGCAGCCAACCAAGGTCAACCCACCACACATAGTAACAGAAAATAAAATAAATTCCTTTTGGCCCAATAAAGAGTCTTTATTCTCTTGTGTATATCCATTATAGCTCATTACATAATTAAATTCCAGAATCATTTGCTATCACTATAAGCATAATGGATAATGCTTTGTTAATGACCCTCCATTTGATGATTTTGTTTTTTTTTTCTTTTCCTTGTTCAGTGTATAACTTTAGCTTCATTTACTAAACACTATCCAATCTTTGCTACAAGACATAATTACTGAGGATTCGTTCTGTCAGATAAGAGTTATACAACTGCGTAAACTGTGTTCATTGTCTTTCTGGTTTTGATGCATAGGATGGTATCTGTAGGAATTAACAAGTAGTTACTGACTTCATCAATTGCAGTTTTTTGACACTGAGTTTTGCTAAATCAAATAACTATTACTATGACAGAGGAAAGTTGAATTGTCCCACAGTATCAGAAATTGAATAGATGAAATAGAATGATCAAATAGGAGTTATGTACTAGCAACATTTATATTCATGCTTTGAACCTCGCTGTCTTCCTATAGTTTCAGATGTCCAGTGCTTTTGTTAACTGTTTTTGTCATTAGTGGATAAATTATACTTCAGAGCTCCAGTCTTTTCCTACTTCATTTGATCTTCTCTATTCTATGAGATTGAAAATTGAAAAATTATGCTCTAAGTCAGCAACAACTGCTAGAGGAGATGCTCTATAGACCACACCAGTTCTCAGACAATGCTAACAAGTATTTTTGGGGGGCTCTTCCTTCCTCCTGTCTTACTCATTTTATGTTTTGTTTGGGATTTTTTTGTTTGTTTGTTTATAATCTTGGGGGGAAAAAAAAAAAAAAGAGGGAAGAAAAAAATTAAATCTGTGTTTCAGGTGTTACTCTGGAATCAGATTCCTGCCTCGACCCAGGGATTCCTGTGAATGGCCATCGCCATGGTAACAACTTCAATATCCGCTCCACAGTAACTTTTAGTTGTGATCCAGGATATACATTGAGTGATGAAGAACCACTCGTATGTGAAAGAAACCATCAGTGGAATCATGCATTACCCAGCTGTGATGGTAAGTGTCAAGTTCTTCAGATGCCAGCTTTAAGGTCCAAGAAAGTTAATCTCCTGTTTCTGAGAACTAAACTTATCATCGCTACTACCTCCCAACTACACCAACACCCATGTTTCAAAAATGATTTTCCTGTTAACAAAAGCTATACTTTACAACTCTGTATCAACTTTCAATCATGTATTGTAATGTATAGTGAAACATACAGGTATATATTTACCAGCAGAAAAATTAGATTTTTCAGAGGGTGCCACTGTTCAGCTGTGAATGAACACAGTCATACAATTAATATTTTTGAAGCCAAGCCAATAACCTTGGGTTTTACATTTGAAATACTGAATACCAAAGTGATTGCTCAAAATTTAAGGTACTCACTATTAAATCAGAACAAAATCAGCCTATGTAATTAATGCTCTTGACATTTTTGGTTTGAAATTTTGGTTATCTCATTAATTGTTTTGGGAGAAAGGCAATATGAGACTGTCTCAAGATTTCATGAGACATTTTTTAAAATACTGAACTATACCAGTAAATTTTTCTGTGTGCTTTTTTATTGGATTTTTTCCTATGTTCTTTTTCTAATGGCTACAAATTCAACTCTTTTTTTGTTGCTGTTGTTGTGGGATACTTGTATACTTGTATGCAAAGGCCCTCTGATAGAAACCACAGAAAATAAGATATAAATGTAACTATTTTAATAGTGATAGAACCCAACATCTCTGAAAATTCTCTATAAGCTTCTTTCGTTAAACATCCTCCTAAAACTTCCTATTTTGTCCATTCTGTTTGCTAAATTAGTACCTTTAAAAGCATGTTTGCCTTGATCATGCTTCTAACTGTGTTCTAAGACAGTGATGAAAGATCAGTATGTGAAGGGAAGAGACCCAGGCCCATACCAACAAAGGCTCCTGCTTTATTTACTTGCATTATTCAGTTCTAACTCCCTTTTCAGGTCCAAGGTTTTCAATGATAGCAGTGGAATGGCAAAAGGCAAACTTTCAAATAGATTCAGCAAAATATTTTAGTTTCTAATCTTGTTTTAAACTGTGTTGTTAAATCTGAGCACTTACTCTCACTTCGGCATCTAATTCACACTGCTGCCTTCTGGCCTGTGCACAAAACATATAAGCTACCAAGGCATCATTATATAGTTAAAATCTCTTGATCACTACAAAGCAAACTAACCTACCATACACACTTGCTCATCTTGTAAGCATTAAAGTTTATTGCTTCTTTTCAAGGACAGAAGCAAACTATTGTTTTCTGATCATATTTTAGACTGTATGTTCTTGGCACGGTTGATGAACTTTGTAATATTGCAAGTCGTCCTATAAGGTGCAATTTTAAAATGAGCAAAGCATTTTTATTATTCTTCCATTGGTTTTATGTATTCCTTTTTCTTGTTTACTTTGCTGCAATGAGTTGAAAAACACTGTTGTAGGAATCTTAACTTTGAATAGCATACTATTCTTTTTTGTATTACTTTTTTACAAAAATTTGTGAATATTTTTTTGAGTTAAAACACCAATGTTCAACTCTTTTGTTTGCATATGAATGTTGAATTGCTGAAAGACTTAGGTAATTTTCACTCAATGAAGAGAGTCCTTATTTCCCAGGTCCATCACCCACTTCCAGCATAAGTGTAAAATAAAAAATTTCAAGCCTTTCTGGAGTAAGGCTGCTGGGCAAGCAACATACAAGAGTTACACTCAATTACTGCGTTTTTCGTTTTATATTCAACTCTATTGAATTAACCAGTCTGAAAAGATGAAATAACTCACATACTGTTAGGCAATCATTGTTTTAGTCTATTTGCCTTTTGAGGCTCAAAAAGTTATGACCCAAATTTTTGTAATGTGACAGATTTAACTGAGGTTGAAATGAGCATTTCACAGTTACCTGGAGACTACTGATGTTCTCAAAATCACAACTTCAAACATTAAAAGAGCAGAATAAGTCCCTAAGGGAAAAGCATGTTGCTTTGTTTCATGCCAACAAAGAAGAAAAATAACTATGTACAGAGACAGTGGTTGAAGTTCTAAGTAATGTGTCATTCTCAAAATGCTATAATGTCCAGTTGGAGCGTGAAAATAATTTTCAAGGGCGAACTAAATAAAGCCAGATCATTTATATATTTTGAATTTCAAACTTAAATCTATGTAAGTTATTTCTAAGTATTTAATATCTGCTTTAAGGATATTCATGCTTATATGCAGAAATGCATATATGGAGGTAGAACTAGATGTAGAAACACTTCCTTTCTTTCTACTTGTTTAAAAATACATACAATACATTAAAAAAAAAAAAAATAAAAAAAATTAAAACTTTAACAAACACGTTAGTCTACTAAGAAATGAAAAAAAATACCACATTTAGCTATAATGCCAGCATTTTTGTGCACATACGTATATATTTTATATATGCTTTTACAAACTACTACTGCAAGTTACAAACTACTACTGTAAGTTTATTGAACCTTTTGTCATGTATATTTGCCATCTAGTTTATGCCAAAGTGTATTACTCTGTGTGAGGAAGAAGACTAAAAGCATCTTAATGCTTGTCTGTTTTCTTCTTAAATATTTAGATTATTAAACTTAAAAAAAAACCCCTAACATAAAAATCTGGACAGCAACAGATGAGTGAAAAGCACAACCATGCTGTATTTAAAAGATCAGTGAGCAATTCAGCATGCAAATCTTAAACTTTAATTAATTTGCCATGCAAATTTGAGCAGCCTCGTTTAGCAAATGCTAGTATGCATAAAACATTTTCTAGTATATTTCTTGTGTCTTTTAAAATATTCTATTCCAAATAAATTACTTATGGTGGGAAAATCTGAATCATTTAAAGACAGGAAAATGCACATTTTTTCCCCCTGAACATCACAGAATAAATCAGCTACAAACTTTTATATTATTAAAAAAAAGACCAAAACAAACCATGTTATTTTGTAAATATTTTGTTTGATAAAACTGGAGTGCAATAAAGCAGCTTCAAGGTATTTGGGGGCTGAGTTAGTTCACAAAGAAAATTAATCTTGCTTCTTAAATACCACTACAATAGGAATTAATACTTGTAATATTCTGAAACAAAGTTTTACTTACTTTTCTATTCTTCTAAGTAACAGGAGAAGCTGTAGATGGAAATTAAACTCCCTTTCAAGGACTATTCAAGGACTAATTCATGAGTAAAGATATTGTCAAATGTGGATGTCATGGGTTTGGACGAATTAATTTATTATTTTATTACTTGACCCAGTTTTTCATTTTAATGTTAGTTAAAAAAGTGAACCAGACTTTATATTTATATATATATATACACACGCACACGCACGTATAAAGCCCAGGACTTCTGTATGACTTCTGTTGTTTCCCCCTCTACATTTTTTTTATTATTTTTTTTTTTTCTCTTATTAAGCTTTATGTGGTGGATATATTCATGGGAAGAGTGGAACTATTCTTTCTCCAGGTTTTCCTGATTTTTATCCAAACTCTTTAAACTGCACTTGGACTATTGAAGTGTCACATGGCAAGGGTAAGAATCTAATCTGTATTTTAATATGAATTCCATATGTGTATGTAATATCTATGTTTAAAAAATTTGAGCACAGAAAGACAATAAAATGCCTTTTATGAATTGAATTAATTAGTGTTTTCTGCTATTCTATTGAGGAAGAAATTTAATTTTCTCCCCAAAATATCTTCAGATGTGGTGTTTCTAGTTTGTGTTTATTTTGCAAAAGAAACATTCTTCTAACGGTTACCAGATGAAATGTATTTTATTTTCCGAAAAATGGGCAGAGACTAAAAGAGATAAAATATATGAAAATAATAGTTACTTGTTAAATAGCCCTAAATTTTTCAGTAAAATCTTTTGAGGATCTTAGGGTGCATATATACGTTATATATAGTAAAGTAACATTTGGATATACCATTAAGCTTGGCACCTTATCTGTTAGAGAAACATGTAAAAGAACTGAGGAAAAAGTCTAGGAAGTACTAATGATGTGTTACTTGCCAATGAATCTAAACATAATAAAAATATTCTTCAATCTCCTTTACGTGACAAGAAAATTCTTTGTTATCTGTGCTAGCCCGGGAAGGATATTGGAAGTTTCTACTGTTTAAAATCTTCTTATGGACCAGATTTTTGTTTACAACTTGTGACATTTTAAATGTAAAATATGTGAGAAGGCTTTATAAAAAGAATTATGTTCCCCACAGTAAATAATTTATTTGAAAACCTGACTGTATTCAAGATTGAATTCTTTGCTGGATTGGAAGTTGTCAACTGAAAAACAGTCATGACTTTAGTAAAGGACTAGTCCCAGAAAATATGAATCTGTATATGTGGAAGACCATGTATAAAACTTGTATCTGCTTTGTTCTTGTATATGGGCATTTCCCTGAAGTGATTAAAAAACAGAATTGTGTTACAGGAAATGCCAAAATAAAGCCTGAATATAATATTTTAGCCAATTATTAAAGTATGTCTTCTAGTTTAGTAGTGAGATCATGGTAGAGATAATAAGTGAAAGAGACATGCAGGAAAGGTATTTGAATATAATGTATACAATTCAAATTTAGTTTTACAGAGTGCTGTTTACTGTATCCCATCAATTCTCTTTTGGGATGTATGGACTTACAGTGAGCTTAACAAACATCCATAATGCACATACTGATTAGTTGAGCCCGAGTGTTCTCTGCAAGTTATATTTTCTGAATTTCAGATTTTGATTCCATGTGTGACTTTTTTAAAAAATCTTTCCAGGTAATGTGAGATTGACTTGGTGTGTCACCTATGTATAAAAGAAGAAAAAAAAAAAAAAACCTTCCTATTAAATGCTTTTCTTTTCCCCCTTTTTGATATTTTTAAAGGTGTACAGCTGATTTTTCATACCTTTCACCTTGAAAGCTCTCATGACTATTTGCTCATCACTGAAGATGGCAGCTTCACAGAACCCGTAGCCAGGTTAACTGGCTCAGTCTTACCCCCTACAATTAAAGCCGGCCTCTTTGGAAACTTCACTGCGCAGCTGCGATTTATATCTGATTTCTCAATTTCTTATGAAGGCTTCAACATAACATTTTCAGGTAAGAAATTCCATTCTGCTAAATATCCAGAAACTCTTTCCAGATAATATTTTTACATGTAGAGAGTGGAGAGCAGAAACTTAATGAAGCACCAGTAAAAATATCAATAAAAGTTGCATAGTCCCTATCGTAAGAAACTGGCTAAGGTTTATAAAGGTGGCTAACAGATTGAGAAGGGTATTGCTGATATGACTGTTTCAAAGAGTTTTCCCTATTCTCAGAGAGCCATCAACCATGTGAAAAAGAAGTCTGGAGGAAAATTAACATGAAAAAGGTAGAAGGTACTGCTTCAGAAGAAAGAAACTAACTAGTACTGTTTTACTAAAGGAAGTATAGAAACTAAACAAGCAATAGTATGCTCAGAGTCACACAGAGGAGTCTAAACTGAAGACTGAATTTTGGTAAAGAAAATACATATATATAACAATAAAATATATTTATTAGGTGTTGATATATGAAGAAGGCCTGATAACTTTTACAAATTCCTCTCGAAGATAATTGAAAATCTTAAGTTACTGCTTCTTATTTACAGTCTCCTAAAACTAGATGACATAAATTATATTTCTCAGTCAT